CCTCCCCTAGCACTGCCTCGGCTGGCACGCCGGCACGCCGGTCCGCATGCCGACGGACTATGAAAACAGCCGTTCTGCTTGAACTCTGCTGTTACTACAAGCAGATATTGGGCAACTTGGTCATTTCATGCAGTAAGCGAACTGATATAGTCTTCGTCGCTTTACACTGTCGACGTGAGCAAGCAACCCAGAACGACGATGGCATCAAGGCATCCCTGATTTCTTCATGTATCATTCTAACTTGCTACTGTGGCCTAGGGTTCATGTGGTCCCGTCTTGGGGCACCTCCCCTCCCCCTCTTGCCCTACTACATAGATCCTTGGAATTTTTGCTCCATCGCAAGTATAGCCGCAGATCATTGTTGACAAAATTCGATTTTGTTCGCTTGAAAAGCCACAAAGGGTCGGACCTTTCGCGTCTGTTCCTTTGCGGCTGCACCTGCTGGACCTTCTAGTTTACTCAAGAATTCGAAGATCTTAGCACGAATTTCCGCATGTGGCTTACCATCAGCATACATTTGTTTCAATACCTGAAATCACTTGCTCTCCGCTCTAGTCGATTATTATATTAATTTCAATTAAAATGCATAAAATGAAAAGTTGACGAACCATTTTCTGCTCGGCTGTCATCCATGGAAGCCTTCTATCGATCTTCTCATCAATATCCCTCTTCGCCTTTGTCTTTTTTGAAAACACATCAGCGCACAGCTAAATCATTAATCCTGACCGAATGAATTGCTGTCTTGGTACTTTTATTCTCCTTTACGTCACCCTCACATAGAATTCCTTCCCCTTTCAACTATAACCGGAATAATGCATTTTGTCAGTGGAACTGCGAATGGGGTCTACAAGCTCGACAGTTAAGTAGAAATATGTACAGTAGCATTCATTGAAATTGACATCTCTCTCTCATTCTCCTATACCATTTTGTTATCACGTTGTAGAGGATAGCAAAGTTGCTCCGCTAGTGCTTTCGCTAGGTATAGTGTACAAGAGGGTGAGAGCAGAGTTCGTTCTAGCGGATCTTTATGAAAGGGGCCACGCATTCTTCTTTTCTCTTCTTTTTTCTTTTCTTCTTCCTACTGCATCTTATCTACTGAGTATCTGCTGAGCATATACCAGGTAGGCACGTCGTTGCTCACACCAAGGAATCAAAGATCAGGTGGACAGTACACCTCATGCGATGCGATGACCGTTGAATAAGAGCGGTTACTCAGTGAACCCTTCAGGAGGTCAAGCGAATGCCATAACGACCGCAAGTGCAATGATTAGAGTTTTTAAGAAAGCTCTGAACTGAAGAAATGTTCAGGAGCAATGTTCACGATCTATCTGTCTCAACCAGCTGAGCCTGAAGACGTGCTACGTTCCATAGCTGAAGTCTCCTTCCGGCAAGCACCTATCAACATGAAGAACTGNTGAATATTCACTAATCTTACGATTTTCAAGCAAAATATAAGCTGGAAGTTTGTTCTAGACTTACCGCTTCCATTTTCACCGCCAGCGCCTTGTCGTGTCCAGTTTGGCGACCAATGACTTCCTTGATAATTGTGCGCACCTCGTCGTCACTGCCGGCATCATGTAATTCTTTCATCTTGTCCATCTCTTCAGCAGTGGCGATTTTTTTGAAAAACGCCTGGAATTCCAAACTTTTCGCTTGAAGCTCATCACACACAAATGTTCCCATACCTTGCATTTTCCTTTGAATTCGTTCTTTAGCGTCTCCTGGCGTTCTGCAGGAAGCGCTTCGAAAAATTCGATCGTTTTTTGGCGAAGTTCGTCATATGATTTGCCAGAATCTTTCAAGTCGCTAATCTGAAGTTGTGCTCATTGCTAGTGAGTCCGTCACAGTATCACAAGTTGGTATGAAAGCTACCATGCCATTCATTACAAAGTCTGGCTCCAATTGTATGAACAAGCCAAGTCGCCAGCCCATTAAGAAGTCAGGCACGCACCCCACAAAAACGGTTTTTGATTTTCTCTCCGGGATGAACCTATGAGTCCGAAGGAATGGACAGTATCCGGAAAAATCGCCTCCAACAATAAAATGGGGCGTAGTAAGAGCTCCAAGACCGGGCGTACACACCCGCAAGTGGTCGTGTTGTAACTAGCTTCGTCGAGGTTGCACCACTTACAATCTAGCGCACACGTTAAAGTCTGAACAGTAGTCTGTCCCGTGACGAAAGTGGACCCCTTCATAGCGCGACGTCGACGTCGGCGTTAGGACGCCACCGAATAGTACCTCATTTGGGAGACACCCAAACGATCACAGGCTATGACGCACTCACACGAAACTTGCAATCATACGACTTGCTTTTTTCCTAAGCTCGGATACAAAAACTCTCCACACTCCTTTGCAAAAGACCACCCGAGCTACTCCTTCACCTGTATTTTCCAGTAGATCGTTGAAATCGCTAACCAGTGAAGTTTCTTTGCGCATGTCCCACCCATGTTCCCATGTTAGCTACTTCCACGCTTTTGGCTTCTTGGCAGGTGCCAGTGCAGTTATTTATATTTGTATTCAGCCTCTATCCCCTTCGGGTAGGAGTTTTTCTAGCAAAGGTGTGCCACTTATAAGACCACAATAGAAAGGAGATGATCCGAATGCCTATTCAACAAAGTCATTGTCGTTTGTTTGGCTGCTTTCTGGATACTTTTCTTAAGGTATTGGCCTTTTTCTCCCTTTACTTCTTTAACAGGGTTTTCTCTGTTCCAATTTCACGCAGAACTCGGGTTCATTAAAATTAGCTACCGTTTTTTTCTGGTCTTCGGTCATCCAGGATGTGAACTCCTCGAAATTCTTGTCAAGATCGCGGCGTCTACGGGATGGAATCCGCAGAAGTCTCTGACATTCATCCTGAAGAATTTATTTTCATTATGTTGTTTTGTACTGTTTACTATCTCTCACTGAATTCTCTCATGAACTTACTCTCCATATTCCCACTTTCTCCTGAACTTCCGGAGTAAGGCGTGTCTTATAGGAATATATCTGAAATAACTTTTTTAAAATTTGTTCTGTGTACTTTGTTTTTTTTTTTTGTTTTCACCCACTTTTTCAATGAGGTCTTCCCTGTTGCCATTAATCTCCACTTCCTTGAGTTCATCTATTTCTTCCTCTGTTGTGACCTGAAGATTCAACTTTCCGTTTGTACAAGATTGTTTTCGTCGTTCTTGTGCTAGGCCCCTGTCACCTACAGTATCTGTTGAGAAAAAAGAAAAAATAAAGTTTACGGTACGTCTTTGATCCACGAAACACAGTGTTTCCTGTAGTATCGATCCCATTCTGCACGAACATCATCATCCAACTCTCTGTAGAAATCCATAATTCTGTTTTTCAGGTCTGAGCCATGCAACTGAAATTGCAAGGTTTCCGTTGATATCAATGGCGAGCGAAGGGCTATATATGTACATATGTGTATATAGATTGACTATAAACGGTACTGAAAACTGAGGTAGGTGCGATCAGTTTACTTCTTTTCAGCAGAATCTAAAAGTGGTCATGATCGCAATTATTCAGAAATGGGTTCTTCAGAGCGGGTCCATTGGCAAATAAGCCATGCCTTCAAGGGTATCTCACCACTAACAACTCAACTCGTCTAGAACATCACTTTTTCGCCCCGAATTTGTGCGCAAACCTGAAAAAAAGGATCTAGAAAGTCATCCGGACTTTATGAACATTTCTCAGTAAGCTGGCTTGAAATATTCATCGGAGGCAAGCTGGGAAATGGGTCCAAATTCCCAAAGGTTAGGTTATATCTGACCTGCGGTTGCACGAAGCATCCTCACTTTAACTATAATACTTTGTCTTTTTTGTTTGAAGCCAAAACTATGCCGGTCTGATGACCAACTGCATGCAGAAACAGAAGCATTATTCTCAGAATTATGGCGAATGAGGTCGAAAATCTAGTATGGCTCAGCCAGATTACGAACTAGGATACTATTTCTTCTGGAGATCTGATAATTCTGCTCATTTGGGTGAATTTTACACCCATATAAACTTCCCCTCCATTTCAACCCGTTTGCCCGGCTATTTGTTTGTTTGTCATCGCTACAAGTGTGCTTATCAGTTCTGTTTTGCACACTAGCATTGACAGGGACAACGAAGTTTCTCATTACTTTTTTCGAAAGCTGGAGCTCGAGTTGGATCTTCAAGTAGGATGGTATCGAGTGATTCCTAGTGGGACTGGATCCAACACAGGCCATCTAGACGCTTTTTCTTTTCGATGGACGAGTCGGGGCCGTTCAGTTTGTCATTGCATGTAACCGAGGGCCTTGTGAACATTACTGTGATTCTAGATGGAAGAGGGCGTGGGAAGGTTTCAAAAAAAAAGAGATTGGTCATCACCTAATGATTCATCATTTACTAATCCGTTTATCAAAGATGTAATAGAAGTTTCAAGAGTTACGAATGTTACTTCGATCGATTCTTCTAGGTGCTATTTCCGCAATCAAATGTGAGGATCGTTGGTTGGCTGATTTCATTCAGGAGATCGTACGAGGTGTATGGTGCACCTCCTTTACATTTTTCCTGACCTTTCAGATCAACTGGTGCTGCACCTAAGCAGTTGACTTTTACGAAGGCTAGCTCAGCTGGTCGTCATGAAAGGGTTACCAGCAGGAGAAGATTGTGTTCCTTAGATTGATGCCTGGCCTATCACCCAAATTTTGTGATGTTTCACCTCTTTACTTGAATTGTGTTGTAATTTGTGGCACTGTGCCCGATGAGTAGTGGAAGGTCTAAGAATGGGTACAAGCAATACATCGCGGTTTTCAAATCGCCTAGTCGTCAATTTTTTGGTCCTGGACTTATTTCCAGGTGAAACAACTCGTTTTTCCCAACTAGTCCTTAGTTATCGGCCACTTGGGAGTACTAAACTCAGTACTCACCTGTGCAACTTCGGCCTTTTGTTCATCCGTCATCCACTCGCCATAACTACTACCTGAGGACCTGAAATGTTCCATTCAGAGTTCAGATTCGACTTTTCAGTTGCTATAGTCTGTTTAAAGAAAGGTTTCGAAAGTGTTGAAGAGAAATCGTTGCTTGATTCTCTTGCTTTAAAATTTTACAACTACGATAATTGCCTCCGCTACTTGCTTTTCAACGACATTCCCATTTGGGTGTTTATGTGAAGCGCTCAATGGTCGCAATCGTTCCCAATTTGGTGGCTTGTTTATCAGCGCTCCGGCCCAGACTTTCCACTGATAGCTGAATGTTGTGATGGTTTCCGAGCAAACCGAGCTGTATAATTCTCGGGTTTATCATTTAATGAAAGCTTGCATCAGAACATTCGAACACTGAGCAGCACCTGATGGACAAACATCAACAAGAAGGTCTCTAAGTTGCTGGATGAAGGTGACCAACCGAAGGAAAAGATGAATTGAAGGGGATTGAAAGAAGGAAATATCAACATTACGATGGCGACGGAGGTACGGTAACTAGTGGGCTGATGTCTATGAAACACCTCAGTTTGTAGGCAGAATTCCCTCAAAACTTCCTCTACCACTTCGTTCTCTCAGCCGAGCGTAAGCAGCCGGCGATGGAGTGACATCTGGTCTTTGTAGTGTAAATGAGATTATAAGATTAGTTTTTACGTGGAATAAGTTTTTCAAGTCACGATTTGTCGGCTACTTAGTACGACTCATCATCGCTTATCATGAGCAAAAAGGTGTACTTTGTGGACGAAATTCGTGGAGCAGAATGCATAGATCAGGCACATTTACCAACACCAAGGTCGACCTTATCTTACCCTACTTCGACTACGACAAGAAGGGGAACCTCTGACGGTTGGGTTTCATTGTTAATGGGCAGAAGGGGAGGTTGTTCAGAGGTTGATTGACCGATCAAATGTTGCCGTCATGTTTCCTACGGATTAGTCGGTTACAGTGTGCTTTGTGCCCATTAATTGAAGTCCCAAAGCGACAAAAAGGATGGTTCTCCTTGAAACTTGATTGATCGAACACCTGCCCTTCTCAGAATTCCCCCGGACCACTCCATAATGCAATTTGGTAGCATGGACACTTTCACGTGAACGTCGTGACCTCATTGTATGAAGTGGTCAAACCTACATCCCAACCGACACGACCGCCATTTCTTACCCTAACCAGGACCAATGCAACGATGAGCGATTTGAAGAAAATCTTATTATTTTGTTGAGCTTGGACTTACCTCTGGAAATTTTCGTCCCAATAGAATAGGCTGGCATGTGCCTGAATAAAGGCTATGAGAAAACCGACGCGCAGCAAAATTCATAAGAATTACCTGCACGGCAACCAGCGCCAGAAGGAGCAGGTAACCGGTCGACTCCATCTCGGCAATCGAACGACTGATTTGAGCGCCACATTCTTATCAGGTAGAAGCTGTTTAAAGGACACAAATGTCCGACCAGATCGACGGCACTCCTACAGAACACAATTCCTGTCAATAATAAGACTATATAAGGTAAGTGGACCAGGGACTTTAGTCAAAGTGACTTCACACTCTCGACCTTGTACTTTGCATTAACAGCCTCAAAACAAAAATCACAACATTTGCTATCATATTCATTAGAAAGCTTTACTTTCGGAGTTTTGTAATAAATATGGCGGATTTCGGGAATATCGGAGTTAAGAGGCTATGTAAGGGCATCATGAGTGACACTGCATGTGGAACATGGAAATCTAACTAGCGTCGAACAAAACAACATTTATGGTCTTGTGGTGCTAACNATAAAAAATATGGTGGATTTCGGGAACATCGCAGTTAAGAGGCTGTGTAAGGGCATCATGAGTGACACTGCATGTGGAACATGGAAATCTAACTAGCGTCGAACAAAACAACATTTGTGGTCTTGTGGTGCTAACTAGCTCTTTGCGCATCTGCGGCGACTGAATCTCGTCCAAATTCCCCCTCCAGGCCACTTCCGTCGTGGCAATCTCGCAGAACCGTTATTCTTGCTACTTCCCATTCTTGCTACTCACTTACGAGGATATTTCGATCTGAAGATTTAGATTTTTTCGCTTTCTTAGGCACTGTTGCACCATTCTTCAACAGTACTCCCGCTTTTCAACTTCAAAGGGTACGTCCAAACTACATCTGAATTACCTCTGAAACACTTGGAAGCGACTTTGTTCGATTCCGCTTTCGATCAGTCCATGGCGTTTAACCAGAACTGCGGTGCTTCAAGTTTTTAGCGCAAACAAGGACTTTCAGTTCCGGCTGGAGCACAAGAGCGCAAGATGGTAAAATTGCCCTCCCAGACAAACCTGGTGCCACTAGAACGATTCCAGAAGGGTAGATATTCGATCTCCAAGCCATACCTGTAGTAGCGGCGCAGTTCGAAACCACTCCAAATAGAAAATGTAAAAAAATATGAATCGAAGGGGCTATGGTGCACCGGAGAGAGAGCTGCCGTTACCAACGGTTACCTAGATGGATTTTGTCCAGTCAACTAAGTATTCATTACTGAATCGAACTTTATCGTTTTGAACCCCAAAAGAACAAACATAGTCGGGCAGTAGAAGTACGATTACAATAACTGTCGGAACGCAGTTAAAGGTTTCGAACCACGAAAACCCCAATGGAATTCGTTTGGTTGGCAAAGACTGTGCTGAACAATCTTATTTTCATTTCGGAAATGAGTTCACCGAGGAAACAGGAGCCGATTCATTCCCAGTTCTGTGAGTTGCTGCTTGAGAATTATTCCTTTGGAAGGAGTTGCGCGAGAGCGTCAGAAGAGAGTTATCTGAGACTTCAGAGTGAACACTTAATACAATGAAAGAACAGTGGAAAACGAGAACGAAGTACTTTACCAGTTCTTGTCTTATTTGGACAAGCGCTGAGCACCATTTCTGTTATTTCGAGGAGCTGTTAGAGGCACAGTTTACGACAATTCCCTGTTGCTGGCTCGCGGGGCTTTCCAGCCCCTCGATCGATGTCACGTCAGACGTGTGTCCAGGCGATACAGATTGCGATTATTCGTTCTAGGACCCACACGCAATCAGCTGATCGCGGAGTGATGAGGCGATGTTTTTCTCCCCTTCTTCTTTCCTATTCTTTTGCCGCGATCTTTT